GGGGGGAGGGGGGGGGCGGGGGAGTATTCAATGATATTGTCAGGCTGTGAGTGTTCCATCTACTACATTGTTTTATAAAAATTTTATCATGCTGTTGACAATAATATTCAAACAGATTTCCAAACAAGTGTTTTCATTGAAGCTGGTTTCCTTAGGAGAGTAGTTTTTCTCTTGGCATTTCCTTGTGTAGATTAGAACCACCCAAAGAAATCAGTCTGGTAATTTTACAAACATAGGACAGTAAGTGATGATCTGATAAACTTTTCCTTATGGACACTTGTGACTTTTCTTGGCCTGCTTAGCACCTGCAGCCCCTCATATGTTTGGTGTTTCCCCTACTTTATTAGCCATAGTGGGATGCATATCCAGTCTCCCCTGCCCCGGTAGAGCAGGGCGGAAAGGTGGCCGCTGGCCAGCAGCATGATGGAGCCTTCCCTTTTCACTTGAAAGCTCTCCCATGGCCCTGCCTGCCTGGCGCCTGCCCGGCGTAGGAGGTGGTGGCCAACTCCGCCCAGCAAGCTCTGAATAGAAAACCTCTGCTGTTCTCACTGGATTTGTCTGTTTGTCTTACAAAACCAGGTCCCTTGCATATAAGGCAGAGAAGATGGGGAGGAGATACTGGGCGGGGCTGCAGGTGGCCTCTCCTCATGTCCCGCTGGTTGGGGGTTTTCTCGGAGGTGAGGCTTGTGAAGGCCGCGGAGGTGCGGGATCCGAGTGTAAATTGACCACGTTGGGAGGCCACGTGCAGGGTGCACTTGACCGTCAGCCCCTGTGAGCCCTGCCCGGCCGCACAGCAGCTGCTCCCAGTGGGCAGTGTTCTCCATGGGGCTCCATGGAGCATGTGACCTTCATCGTCCACACAGGGTGTCAAAATCCGTGGTCCCTAGAAATCCTTTCTTTTTCTTTTTCTTTTTTTTTAAAATCAGTGCCTCCGCTGCCCACCACGTGAGGGTGGAGTGACTTCCCTCTATCTTTGCTTTCAGGTTCCTTCAGGTTCCTGGTGCGAACTTCGACCAAACATTTCTTCTTGTATATTTGAACTTGAACTTCCTGAAGAAGCTCCCAATGGCCCCTGCAGTGTGGTTGGTGCCATAGAGAGAAGCTGGGGTCTCACCTCAGGGCAAAGTCTCTGGGTCTAGCAGGGTTCCCTTTGGTCACCCCTGGGGGCTCCACCACCACTGCTGACGTTGCAGGTTGACTGGAAGCCACAGAGACACGCTGAGAGTTTGTGCTGGCTGGTGGCCCCTCACAGAGCCTCTCCGTGGGGCACAGCCCAGAGGCTCACTTGGGGTCCAGGAGGGAGACTGCGGCAGGAGCAGACTCCGTGGGGCCCAGGCCCTGGCTCAGTTAGGCTGTCTTTGCCGTTCTGCATGGAAGCCAGGCCCAGGCTGACTCCCCTCCCAAGTGGGGAATTCCTGCTCTGATTTGCGCCCTTGGCAGTGGGGGGAGGAGGGACAGGGAAAGGATGGGGGCTGGCAGGTGCATTGGCTGTGCTATGGCCTCTGCCCTGTCCCCTGACCCTCCTCAGGGTCTGCATTGCTCCTCTGAGTATCAGAGTAGCGATTAGAGGTGGAATTAAATGGCAAGGTGCTGAAACAGTGCTGCTTGCGGTTGGCTGAGACCCTGAGACACTGTGGGCTGGGGAAGGAGTGCTGCTGTTGGTTGGATCTGCTGAAAACTGTGGCTTCAGAGTGCTGGGTAACCATGAAGCCTGGGATCTCTTATCACTCAGGAGCAAAGATGTGGCCATTACCTCACTGCCTCTCTGGCTTAGTGGTGAGTCCCAGATCTATCTTTCCATGTGCAACTCATGGACACCATGAATTCAGTTGGCCCTGGGTCCTTACAGTTAGGGGGTGGCTCCATGTAGGGCTTTAGTTCCTCATATTTATGACCCACAATAATCTATGGATCCTTCATGAGGCGCTCTGATTTCTCATTGAGAATCAGAAATGTCTTAGATTTTCATATTCCGTGAACATATAGAAGGGTATATGATATATTCTGCTCTAGTAATCTTCTGGCAGCTTCATGAAGGTCTGTGAATCTGTAGACCAGTGTGTACAGACTAACCCCCAGACTCCATATACCCACTGGATCCTACTTTGACCCCAGGAGAGCTCCGGGGCAGCATCGGGGGCTGCCACAGAAGGGATCTGGCTTGTCCGAAAAGGTGAATTTGTTGCTGATGCCAGTGTGGCGTTCACGCCAGCATCCAAGAGCAGGTTTTCTGCCTTTAAGTCTCTACGTATGATATTCTTGTGACAGTTTGCACAGCAGACACTAACTGGCGGAGTTTGTCCTGAGCCTTTCCCGCTGCCCTGAGTCACCAGGTAGGCAAACGCCTCTCCCCCAGCAGAGTCCTTCCTCCGTCACTTAGATGATTCACTGCGGGGCTGATCCCAGGCTTCACGGTTCCCGCTTTGCGGGATAGTCTGGAGGCTGCAGGAGTCCTGCGGGGTCCCCCCAGTGATCACGGCTGCGCTTTTCCCAGCCAGGACGTGCCACCGGTGCCGATGGTCTCGAGCAGACTGTTGCCAACATGAGCCTCCCCCCGCAGAGGTGGCCCGGAGGCCCCGCAGCACAGGCTCCCTGCCGTGCTCGGAGTCAGGGTGGGCGGAGGTCAGTTTACATCTGGGAAAAGCTGGTGAGGAGCTTGGTCCGAATCACCTCCAAAGAAAACCGGGTCAAAGCTCACCTGATGGGCTGCTCTTTATAATGGAATCAAAACATGATGGCAGACAAAAATAAAGATAAACTAAACAAATACAACCTAAAAATGAAATGAGTAAAAAAAGTGAAGAAAAAGAATAAAGAAAAATGAAAANGGCAAATACCAACAAACTCAATTTTTTAAATTGAGGAAAAATAAAAAATTTTTAAAAATGAGAAAAAGAAAAAAGAGGGGGAAAAACCCCCAGCAACCAAAATAGACCAAAATGCCAAGGAGGAAACAAGCTAATTTTGGTCCAAGTCCCTCAGGTCACTACAAAACAGCTTCCTGAGCTAGAAGGATCAATAATCTGCGCCCAACAGGGAGTTATTTGATGCTTGGACGAATAGTTATGTAAGAGGCCATAGGAAGAAACCCATCAATAAGTTTGGGGATAATCCTCAATGGTTATCTCATTTTTGGGTCTCAAGTAAGACCCTTTATTTAAAAAATATATATATTTACATAATATATATATGACTCCAAAGAACTTTTTGTTTATATGGGTTATGGCTATCACTTACTAGAAATTAAAATTTGCAGGCTGCTTCAGTGCCTTTTCACTTCTAGTTTGTAAAACTATCATTTTTGGCTTTTAAAGAGCTTTATAATGTTTATACTTAAAATATTCAAATCCTTTTTCTTTACACTCTTAAGTGATGGGTCTCAAAATGATGCAACTTAAGTGACATGATACTGTGTGAAAATGTTTTGTTGCATAAGACACAATAAGGTACATTGCTGACATCTATAAAGCTGAAGGGAGGATAGTGCTCATATTATTTATGGTTTTGCCCAGTTCTTTGGAGTAGATTCCTTCCTTCCGCCAGCCAGAGAACTCACTGTGTGAGTTCCAGTCCCTTTAAATGCAGGGGCTGCCGCTGGGAGTTGAGAAAGCGTGTCTTCTGCTCCTTGTTTTCTAAGCCAACAGTCCCTGCTCTGTGTCCCTCTCATTCAGCTCGGGATGGGAGGGGGGGTGTCTGGGGGTTGGACATGTCACTGGTACCTCAGAGGAGGGAAGCAAGATCCCCCTACACGGTTTTTTAGAAACGCTTTATGGAAGTATAATATAGATACAGAAAAGCGCCCAGACTATCCGTGTGCAGCTTGGTGCCTGCTCACGAATTGAGCTCCTTTACTTAACTAGCATCGGGATCTTTCCAGTCCCTTCTCCACAGGGAAACCACTGTTCTCACCACCGCTCCCTCTTTCAGCAGCACAGGTTAGTTGTGCTTGTTTTTGAACTTTACATAAGTGGAATCTCACAGTATTGCATTTCACACAGTACCCTTGGAGTCTGCTTCCTTGGCTCACTATTTTTGTGAGATCCACTGTATTGCTTACTTTGTTGTTCTAAATGGTGTATAGTAGCCCATTGTTCATCCATTTTGCAGTTACTGGGCATTTGGATAGGTCTCAGTTTTTGGATATTAAGAATAATGCTGCTCTAAATATTCTTGTTCCAGTATTTGGGTGAACATGTACATGGTTTTCTGTTGGATATATAGGTAGAAATAGAATTGATTGCTTAAAAGGTATGCATATTTTGGTCTCAGTAGACACTGTGCCAGTTGGCATACCTACCAGCCGTGCCTGAGGGTTCTCTTCCCTCTCTATCAACTAGTATTGCCTGCTTTTTAACGTGGGCGTGGACCTTCCTGTGGGCGTGTGGTGGTGTAGCATTGTGGCTCTAATTGGCATTTCCCTGATGCCTAATGAAGTAGAACACATTTTCATATGAATATTAACCATTTTCTTTTCAAGTTTTTTGCCCACTTTTCTGTGGGGTTGCCTGTATTTTTCTGATTGGTTTGCAGGTATTTATGCATATGTATTGGGCATGGATCTGCATGCATATTTATCCCCATTGGCTCTCTGCTGCCACCTCCTGCTATTTTGCCCATTGATCACCCCTTTCCAGCCATTGGCTTCTTCCTTAAACGGCTCTGCCCGGCACAGTCCCATCTCAGGGCTCGTCACTGGCTCCCATTTCTGCTTGAAATGTTTTTACTCAGAGATACATTAGATCTCTTCCCCACCTCCTCAAGTCATTGCTCCACTCTCACCTTCTTAGAAGGCTTCCCTGACCTATCTATTTGGTCTTACATCATCCCTTGCACATCCTGTCTGCCACCCCTACCCATCACTTAAAAATGAAACAAAACTTTGTATTAATGAAATTTTCAAACATATACAAAATTAGAAAGAACAGTATAAAGGCCTTTCCTTGTATTTCTATCACCCAGCATCAATAATTAGCAAAGTTTTACAATCTTATTTTACTTATAAATACTTCGGTCTGAATCTTTAATAGATAAGGACTTTTTTTGAAACAGTTACTATGCCGTCATCAGATCTAACAAAATAAATAGCTTCATATGCTAGTCCAGATTCAAATTTCCCAGTTGTCTCAAAGATGTCTTGTTATAATTGATATGTTTGAATAAAGGTCCAAACAAGTTATACACATTGCTTTGTTGGCAGCGAAACAGCACCTGGTTCTTAAACCGGTGGGGTTGGACCGGACCTGGGTTCCACAACCTCGGTACTTGAGTTCTGGCTAGGAAAGAATTCAGAGCCAAGACTCAAACTATAAGAGAAACTTTATTTAGAATGTCACAGAGGTAGAAGTGAGCTGTAGAATAAATGGGCTCAGGAAACAAGTTACAGAGGCAAAAGAAGGACCCTTGGAGCTTGGGAGAAAGAGACAAGCAAGGAAAATGCACCTGGGGGAGAGGGGTGGGGAAAGGCATGGGGCGTGCTCCATAGAGAGAAGTGCACTGGGTCCTCTGTCTTGAGGGTCTTTATCTGGGGGTCTCAGGGACGGATCGTAATGGAGTATTCATCAGCTTTGCAGGTATGCCCTTTAAGGGTCATGGCCTCTACTGATCGGTCAGCGCAAGGGCAGGGGGTCATTAGTCAGTGCAGCTGGTCCTGAGGTCAGCCATGGAATCACTTGTCTGGTTTCGCTGCTTTTCTGGGCCTGGAGCTGAAACACAGCTGAGGCCTAGATGCATTTGATGGGGGTCGGGAGCTCCTTGTCCTGAGGGCTTAATGCTTAAGGGCTATTCTCCGGCCCCCTTGTTCATTCTAAGGGGATCTGACCCGAATGACTAGCAACATGTCAGGGGAGGAAAGGTCAGGGGAGGGTCTGAACCGCATGACGGGCGATATGAAAGGTCAGAGGGGTGTAAACCGCAGAACCCAAGATATGCTAGAGGAGGAAAGGTCACCCTGGGGCGAAGTCCTTGTTTTCCCAGTTTTGCCCATTGCTAGGCACCCAGACATTCCCCCTGGTGACCTCTCCTGTACCTGGCCGATAGTCCTTGCTCTGCTCGTCTAACTGCCGACCACAGCTTTATTTCCACAGCAATATCATCATTCAAAATACTACATATTTTATATATTTGCTTATTTTCTCTCCTAATTGAGTATCAATTCTGTAAGAGTAGGATTTTTGTCTTTTGTCCTTTGCTGTATCGCCGGCACCTGGAATGATGACTGTCACGT